GATCGCAAGTGGTAAGTAAAAGGTGGAAATGTCGCAGAAGAAACACCCAGCCCGCCATACCGAGAGGAAGAGTCAGGGTTGTTTTTAGGGGGGGGATGGGGCTCAGGGGGGGATGCGTCGACCCCAGATCGCACCATTGATCGCCGAAAAGATCGGAAGGGGCGATATTCGAGGAAAGGGAGGCTATGTAGGAGGCGTGCGACATTTGCTGCATGCGCCTGCTTTCGGCCCCTCCGGCTGGGCGTTTTCCTGGGGACGTGGGCGCCACTGCGCCAGGAGGCATTTGGGAACCAAGCTACGTGATGCGATTCGCTAAGCTGCCCTTACCACGGTAGGTTCGTGTCGTGGCGACGCGAGCGTTCAAGTTGAACGCCACGGTGGTCCAGAACTGGCCAATATGGAACGATTTGCGACATCAGCAAGCGCTGATCGATCAAGGTTTAACGACCAATTGGGTGTCAGGGACCAACGCCGAAGTCGTCACGACACGAACTAAGTAGCCTAGCGTATCGTAGCGCACCGTAGCGTAGCTAGCGCAGGGCCGGCGCCGGCACAACGCGGCGTGGCTGAGGCACACACAAGCGCCGGCACAACGTCGGCCCAGCATCAGTGCGGTCGTTGGCGCATCCGTTGGCGTTTGCAGTCGCCGCAGCTCGGCAGCGCCGCCGCGGAGCGTAGTCAGAGGCTTGATTTTTTGCTGCAACGTGGACCCCAGAGGCCTGTACCCCTTCCAAGGGACCCATCCCGAATCGGGAGGAGGACACGCGGAGGAGGAAGCGAGAGAAGAACGACGAAGAGGAACTATCTGGTGATATTTTGCTGGATGAATCGGTCTTCGAGGGAAACTTGGCTAACGTTTCGGCTGCTGGACTGGCTGTTGTTGTTGCTGTTGATATTATTGTTGTTGACCGCTTGTTGAGCGCCTGCCCACCATGTACGTGTTTGTGTGTGTGTGTGTGTTCACTGCTGTCAGGTCTGCCCTGCGTCAGCATATGCCTGGCAGTGTCTGTCATACTCATCGCGATTCTGGTTCGAAAGGTTTATTTAAGCGTGGCCGTGAGGAGTGTTGCGATGACATGGCCACGCTTGCTCCTCTCTTGCGTGAAGCGTCGCACCTTCTGGAAAACAGGGGCGAGGCGATGGCTGGGCTTGTCATGCAGATTGAAGCGCATCTTCTGTTCCGTGACTTCAGCTCGGGCGTGCTACCCAGCGTCTGGATGTTGGTAGCGTTTGAGATAACATGTTTAACTAAGTGGATGTCCCAGGCTTTGTGGACTTCGGAAGGGCAGCTACAGGCCATCAAGAATCGCGCCACGGCTCTTAAGATCTTGTGTATGTGTGTATATGGGTGACCAAGGTAGGGGAGGGAAACGACGCGTTCCACCCGTCGCAGGTAAGGGGGGCTTCGTCCTCCCCAGCACATTGTTCTTCTGGTGCAGAGCCGCCCGGTCTCTCTCTCTGCGAGCGTGCCATGTCTTGCTCGCGCGAGAGCAAGGAGGCAGGTTCAAGGCCGCATCAACCTGTTCGGGTTTCCTTGACGTATGATGCCACTCTTGTCGGTTGTTCTTATCGCGGTGATTTGTTTGTCCGGTTGCATCGTGTTCTTGCCCTCGCCATGCAAAGCGCGAGAGGCGGGTTGGGCAGTCAAAGTTTGAAGTCGTGTGGCGAGAGGAGAGCACGAGGATGTGGGCCGAGGCGAGTGAGTGTTCGCGCGTCAGACGGTTGCGCCCTCGCTCGATTGTCTTTATGTTCCCAATTTGGGTTGATTTGTTCGTCTGAGACTCTCTTGCTTGCAGTGTCTTGCGTAGGAGAAGGAGGAGGAGGTGGGGGAAGGACGGGAGGAAGGAAGGAAAAAACAAGAAAGTCGGAACAGGGAAACATATAGATCGCAGCTGGGACGAGGACGAGGAGGAGGAGGACGGAGGAAGAGGTGGAGGAAGTGGGAACGGACCACGAAACGTGGGCGGAGGGTGGCTGGCCAGGGGGATAATAGGCACTGCGACCATCCGCTCATGGACGGAAGAGGGAGGAGGATGAAGAGGAGGGCCCGCGGGCGGGGAAGGGTCCCGCAGGCAAAACGGGCCCGCAGTCAAGGAGGAGGAGGACGACGAGGAGGAGGACGAGGATGACGAGGAGGACGAAGAGGACGATGAGGGATGTAGATGAGGAAGAGGAGGAGGACGACGAGATGGAGGAGCAGGAGGTGGAGGAGGGAGTTGATGAGCAGCTGGAAGAGGAGGGGGAGGCAAGAGAAAAGAGGAAACGAAGGAGGAGGATAGGAAAGAGGATGACGACAATGATGAGGTGAAGAACGATGGAAGAGGATGTATGACGAGTGGCTAGGCAGGAATCAGGAATGAGGATTGAAGAGGAACGATCGAGGAGGACAGGAGTTACGGAGGGAGGGGTCGAGGGGTGAAGAGAAGCGAAGGAGGAAACGAGGGAGGGGGGACGAGAGTGAGGAGGAGGTGGAGGCGGAGTAAGAGGTAAAAAGAGGAGGAGGGGGAGGAGGAGGAGGAGGAGGAGGAGGAGGAGGAGGAGGAGGAGGAGGAGGAGGAGGAGGAGGAGGAGGAGGAGAGGAGGAGGAGGAGGAGAAGGGAGGAGTAGGAGGAGGAGGAAGAGGAGGAGGAGGAGGAGGCGGAGTAGGAGGAGGAGGAGGAGGCGGCCGAGGTGGCAGGAGAAGGAGGCTCGGTTTCTACTCTGGGAAGAGCGGCGGGACGGGCCCCGCCTCGCCGTTCAGGACCCGGGACCAGCGGTCGGCGATGGCCAAGCGGCAGGGCGAGGCCGCGCCTGGCGGTTGGCGGCGGCCGACGTCCGACGACGGCGGCCCAACGGCCACGAGGCCGACGGCCGACGCCCCACGACGCGGCGGTGACAACGACGACGGCCGACGACCGACGGCGGCGGCCGACGACGACCGACGACGACGGCAGAACGGCCAAGACGGCCAACAGGGCCACGGCGGCGAGCGGCGGCGGCGTCCAGTCCAAGCGCGATCCGCCGTTCACGTTGCCGCCGGATCCAGCCGCAGCGCCCTGCCGCCTGGGCCAGCGAGATGCCCGAGCACGGCCCGTGGGGCAACACAGGTCGGCCTGCGCGAGGTCCCGCAGGATGCGCGGCACCGGCGGCCATCGGCCCCACACCCAGTCCCCCTTACGTCGTGCTCTGCGTCACAACCGTGAGGTCTGGGCGTTGTTGCCCAATCAGTGCTTGCACTGAAGGGGTCCTCGCGGAAGTTGAAGGATTTGGCGAAAGTTTCTTGCCAATTTTGGTCGCACGCTGGGTTCCCGGGTTCCGGGTTCCCGGGTTCCCGGTTCCGGGTTCCGGGCCGATTTCGGAGGGCGGCGAGGTTCCCGGGTTCCGGGGTTCCTGGTCGATCTTCTTATCGAGCGGTCTCACCATCGATCTCAGTACCCCATTCTCTATCGATCTCACCATCGATCTCACAGTCGATCTCACTATCGATCTCACAAGCGATCTTACTAGAGATCGCATGAGCGATCTCGCGACCGATCTCACTATCGATCAGATTGAATCGATTTCACTCCCGGTCTCACGATCGACCTTACAATCGTCCTCACTATCGATTCCACTATCGATCTCACAATCGATCTCAAGATCCATAGTATTAATTTTTAAATCATCCACTGATGGGGGTTTTCTCAGATGTAATATTCGTTATCGCGCTGGGTGTTTTTGCCCCGTCCTCGGTTCCTGGGATGATCACAGTTCGACCCGTGCCGAAAAGTGCAAGACTGACGGGGTCTAGGGCACCAGTCGTGCGATTTCGCGATGTTGTAATTTTCGGGGTTAGGTCTGCAGTTTTCTTGCTGGGAGTTTTTCTGATATTTTCATAGGTTCCCGGCAGTTTTGTCTCGGGATGCGTTCCAGCAGCTGCGCCTCGGCGATGGCGTTCTGGGGTTTTCCTGGGTCGTCCCGAACGGCCGCCCTCCGTCCCTCCTCCTGACAATCGTCGTTTCTCTTCCTCCTCGCTCTTCTCAGGTACAACGTTAGCGGAGGGATAGGCGCAGGGTGAGGGGTGTATCGACCCCCAATCGCCGATTCGTCGCCGACGGGCATGATAGCCCACCCCGCCCAGGAACGCGCGGATTCGCCGTCGGGGCCTATCGCCGATCTATCGGCGATGTACCGCCGATTCCAGCTTGATGTTTCCCCGCCCCCCCCCCCCCCTGAGCGGGTTCCCCCGCATCGTTTCCCTGCTCCGCGATCAGTCCCACGCCCGCGCGCAGGAGAACGCGCGCGGGAACATGTGCGGAACGGAAGTTGGTGGGAGGGGGAGGAGGGAGCATCTTTGGAGGAAGAGGAGGGAGTGTGGCGGAGGAGGAGGCGGAGAAGGAGGACCAGTGCCAAGCTCCCTCTTCATAGGCTTCAACAAGGGTTCATATCCACCGAGAGAAGTGCACCGTTTGAAGACATCCGTTTGAGCATCCTGAGCCGTGCCAGAGCACCTTTCCTGGAAAATCAATTCCACGAGTCAACCTTGAGGTTGTGACTTGGTGATCCTGAATCGTGCCAGAACGCCATTCGTGGGACTTCAGCACCCTGAATCAACAAAAGTGCTGCGCCCTGACAATCCTACATCGCTCCAAAACGCCGTTTCTGGGACGTTAGCCATGCGAATCCTTCAAGCTCTTGCAACGTTTTACTAATGAATGTGCGCGGCGCTAGAACGAGAGCCATAGTTTTTTACAAGAACCGCCCTCATATTGCAACATCTTTGTTTTTTTGAGATGTGCGCGGCGCTACGACGGCCCGCCCTCGATCCGGGAAGCTCTTGCCAGCGTTTAGAACGAACGTGCGCGGCGCTCAGGCGAGCACCAGATGACAGAACGCCTTCAATGCACGAAGCTCCTGCAACTGCTTGACAATGAATGGATGTGCGCGGGGCCGAAAGGAAAACGGCACGCCCTCGCTCCGTGAAATCATTTCGCAATTCTTGAGATGAGCGTGCGTGGCGCTGAGGCGAAGGCCACGTTTTGAAAACGACCCGCCCTCCATCTGCGAATCGATTATAGCGTTCCGAAACTGATAATGTTCGCGGCGCGAAGGCGAGAGCCACATTTGGGAACACTCCCGCCCTCCATGTACGCAAGCGTTGCCATTGTTGTGAAACTTCAGGATCATAGTGTGGTGAGGAAGCCTGAGGCGAAACGTCCGGCCCGCCCTTCCGACCTGCTTCGGGGTGTGACAAGATATAATGATAATACGGACTGGAGCAGGAGGAGGAGGACGAGAAGGAGAAGGAGGACGAGGAGCAGGAGGAGGAGGAAGAGGAAGAGCAGGATGAGTACGAGGGTAAGCACTATGAATTATACTCCCTCCTCTCCCGACGTTGTGCGGAAGATCTCCCGCCTATTCCGCGTGCTGATTGTCATAGGATGTTAACATGTGTTTCATTACGTGTGTTAGATAATCCGATTGTTTTCGGTGGTTCGAACTTGTGTTGCCTCTACAGTCAACACGCATAGTAAGGATGCACAACCTTGCCAATGTTACCCTTGCATCCTTGCCTCCTCGGACCATCATTGGTTGCTTTCGCTGGCCAATCTCGTACCGAGGAGGAGGGGGAGGGGGAGGAGGAGGAGGAGGAGGAGGAGGAGGAGGAGGAGGAGGAGGAGGAGGAGGAGGAGGAGGAGGAGGAGGAGGAGGAGGAGGAGGAGGAGGAGGAGGAGGAGGAGGAGGAGGGGGAGGGGGGAGGGGGAGAAGGAGGAGAAGGAGGAGGAGGAGGTGGAGGAGGAGGAGGAGGAGGACGACAACGAGGAGGAGGAGGAGGAGGAGGAGGAGGAGGAGGAGCAGGAGCCAGGGCACCCCAAGGGTGGCGCAAAGAGACAGCCGCGCCTCGCGCTTCGCGGCGTGGGTGTTGGAGGGACGCCCCCTTCTCCAGCTCGGCGGTGCGAGGGCGTACAGAGGCAACCGCTCACATCGCGGGCCGCGGTGCGCGAAGCTGGGCGACCTAAGATTTCAGTCGGGCGTGTCCCTCTACAGGAGGAGTAGTCAAACATGGTCAATACATAGTATGGGGACGATGTTTCACTATGTTTGATTAGTTGTTTGGATATGGTTTGACTATTCTTACTTACTGTTTCGCCCAACATCTGCCTGTAGGGGGACACTCCCGACCTAACCTAAGATATGTTTCAGATATGTTGTTGTTTCAGTCCTGGCTTTTTCCTCGACCGTGGCCTCTCAGGCACCTCATCGGGCCCCAGGGCCCTCCTCAAAATTGGACCCCCGCCGAAAGCCTGGCCTCGGGGCCACGGGTCGGGACCTCCGTGGGGCCGCAAAGTGGAACCGTCGCACCGTCGGATGTCTGGGGCGGATGGCACCCCGCGGTGTACTGCGCCCGTGTGCGAGGGCGGCACGGGGACGGCGGCGGCGAAGGGCGACCTGGGGCGGCGACCTTGCGACCAGAAGACCGCGGCGGCGGGCGACGGCGACAGTCTTCAGAGGAGGAACGGGCACCGATATCGCTGCTGGTCCTGGAGAGCCCTCGTCGACACAGCTGGATTCTCAGGAAAATTCTAGACGCTTCGCGTAATCCAACCTGCAGTTCTGCTCGTAGCCCGAGCCGACCTGTGACGCCGCCAGCGCCTTCGCCTGCGGTTGCGACAAAAGAGAATCCAACCTGCCCATGTATCCAGGAACGATGCCCAGGCGAGATGTCCTGATCAGGCATGTGGAGGGGCACGCAGTCGAATAAAGGCTGGAAGCCGTCGTACCCCAAGAGGGGGATGATGGAGGAGGAGCCATAGGAGAGTGAGGAGGAGGAGGAAAGCAGGAGGAGGAGGAGGAGGAGGAGGAGGAGGAGGAGGAGGAGGGAGGATGGAGAAGGGAGGAGGGAGGCGGAGGATTCATTAGGCGGATGAGGAAGAGGAGAATGGGGAGCGCGGCAGCGACGCTGACGCCGGCGGCAACGACAATCGTACGCGGCGGCGGTGGCGAGGATCTCGTGGGTCCGCTCGGCGGACAGCTCCCGGGGGGCCACATGGCGACGTCGGAGGCCTCTGTCTCTGTCTCGCCCTGTCCCCGTCGTCTCTCCAAGAGCACACGTTGCGCTGAGAGGCACTGCGGTGCCTTCGGAGGCCTCAGGAGGCTGGTCTGGCGGCCGCCCGTTCGCGCCGCGGCGCCCCCGAACTGGCTGTCGCAGTCGTCGTAGTCCCTCTCGGCATTGTCGTCGGCGTTGCTGTCGTCGTCGCTTCGGTCGGCGTCGTCGTCGCTGCTGGTCATCGTCGCCGTCGTCGTCCGTCGTCGTCGTCGTCGTCGTCGTCGTCGTCCGTCGTCGTCGTCGTCGTCGTCGTCGTCATCGTCGTCGTCGTAGTCGTCACAGTCGTCGTCGTCGTCGTCGTCGTCGTCGTCGTCGTCGTTCTCATCCTCATCGTCGTCGTCATCGTCGCGGCACGATCACCGTCTTCGTAGGCGTTGCCACCGTCATTGCCCGCCGCCGTCGTCGCCGTCGGCGCTGCCGCCGTCGCCCGCCTCGTTCTCCCCAAGGTCGAGCAGCGGCGGAAGCAGCTGGAGGAAGAGCGCCACGCAGGACCTCCAGGGGCCCGCCCCCGCCCCCCCCCCCGAGGGCATGCATGCGAAGAGGGCGGAGGCCCCGGGGCAGGGCCCGAAGGGCAGGCCTCCACAGCGCACGGAACAGCATCGGCGCGAAGGCTGTAGGTGGCCGTGCTCGTCCTCCCGCGGGGCCCTCGCCGGACCTCCTGGGGCCGTCAGGAGGTAGTCCAATGAGAAGCGCTTCGGCACGAAGCGCTTCTCACTGGATTGCTTTCGCGCAGAAGCCGGGCTCGATTGCGCGGACATACGCGCAAAAGTGGCCCGCGCGATGTCGCGCATGAGCGCTATCGTTTCCAATACAGCGTTCCATGCTGGTGGAAAGACTGGGGACGAAGATCCAAATCAGTTCTTGTCCATGCAGGATCAGACTTGCTGTCGGCGTCGTTGCGGACGTTGTCCACTCGATACAACTACCCATCAGCGGCTACTGTAGGGTTTGGGCGGCATCCGTTGCTGAACATCTTACATCATTGTTTCGTATCCATTCCGGGTGTGCAAAGAGCTGGCCCTAGGCAACGGGTTGGGACTTCACGGGCCAACGCATTGACTTCACGGGCCAACGCATTGAAACGCATTGTTTTTTTTTTAAAAAAAAAAGGAATCATAATCATCCCCTGGCCATCACGGGCGTGACCAGGGGAGGGGAGAGGGAGAGGGGGGCGTGTCACGTCACGATTCGCACCAGCGCCGTCTGGGAATTCCCAACGATGGCTCATTTCCAGACGGCGCCACCGCGAATCATAACGTGACCAGGGCGGGGGGGGAGGCGGGGCCGTTGCCCAGTCTGACAAACCTCTTCAGCGGGGTTGCGGGGCCGGTCACGGGCGTTATCGTGAATACCAGCACGTCGGATCTCTGGATATGTTGCAGGCCCGCGGGCCGCCCAGGGCGCTGCGGCGGCGCTGCGAAGCGGGGAGCTCAAGGGGCCTTGTAACGCGGTCACCCGCCGCCCGAAGCTCCAGGAGCGGTCTGCGCGCCCCACGCTGTCGAAGAGCGGTTGCAGGGCAAAGTCGACCTGCCTCCTTAAAAGACCAATATCTCGGGCCTTTGCCGAATACCGTTATTTATTTTCTAGCCACAATCGTCTATAGTCACATTGGTTGCCCTTGCGTATACAGACACCAGGGGTGGATGCGTCCATAGACGACGCGGCCGTTGTGTTCGGCGCAGTACGAGGTCGGAAAAGTGGCTGATTCGTCTACGGTACCTTCCTGTTCCAGAGCAGGCCCCACATGCCACTCCAAGGGAGCGGGGATCAGGGGCAGACCGGCCGGGGAACCCTGGCAAGCCTCGGCGACCACAAGGGGTGTGGGCACGCCGGGGTGTGGTCTGCGATCGGCGCCGCTGGGGCCCCAGGGGGCACCACGCTTGCCCTCGTCGGGCCTCCTCGGGGCGCGGCGGAGAGCTCCGTCGAGGCCCTCGCCCGCCCCCTGGGCGCCGCGGGCGGGGGCCCTCTCCGTGACGGGGCCTCATCGCCTCGAGCTCGGTCCGCGGACGACGCGCGAGCACGGCACACCGCGCTGGCGCGTCTCGCTGCGTCGTCGACGCTCGGCCCTCTCGGAGGGCACGGGTGCACCGCTGTCGGGCCCTCGGGCCGGGGAGGCGTAAGACCCGAGCACGCCGGAGCTCGAGTCTGCCGGCGCTGTTTGGCGAGCGCGTCCTGGATTCTGGCGGTCCAGTTGTCGTGGGATGTGCGCAGCGGGAGCTCGCGTCAAATTTCAGACTGGATCGCGTCATTTTCATGATGGCCCCGTCAGGCCAACCCGAGTTCCCCGAATCCGAGTCTTGCGTCTCCCCGATCAGAGCCGAAAAATTATCCACCGTACCGCGCTGGAGCGAGGCCTGAAGGGAGTCCAGACATGGTGCGGGGCAGCATGGGCGCCGTCCTCGTGGTATCCAGAGCGTGTTTTTGTTTAGAGTGTGGCATGTTTACTTGCATTGCACTTCGCCCCCCCAACCTCCCCCCTCCGCCTCCTTTTCAGACAGCGCTGGGCCGAAAAGGTGCGCAAGCGAGTCCCGACTTGCGTGAAATCCAGGTCTCCTTGCGGGCCTTGCCACGGTTAGTCCCTCTAGCAGCAAGAGCCTGAAGAACACTTTCCTCCTAGGCGTGTGGCAGGGCGGTCCGGAGGGGGCATCGAGGGGCGAGGAGCTCGCCACGGCGGGGGTTCGTCGTGAAGAGGATCGGTTATAGGCCGCGCCCAGGGAGCGAGCACTCACGGACAGGCGATCTGCGCGGTGTCGGAAGGCCACGCCAACGTTCTGTGGCCCCACCCCTACGGGTGTCACTCGACGCGATGGTATTCGGGCACCCCCCGCTGGGGTTCACTTGTGTTCGCAGGCCTAGAGGTTGACACCAACACCACGATCGGCGGTGTGCCTCAACCGAGGGAAGACGATCCCGATCTCGGTGATGGTGGTCATATTCTGGCTTCCAGGGTGACCGACATATCACCACCAACGCCAGCCGGCTCGGCGCGAGCCCCGCCGAAATCGGCAGGCTCGGGCCGCCTCGGGCGCGGCGTCGGGCAGCCTCGCGGTGTGAGGCCTTCTGTTGGCATCCTCTGGGCCTTGGCCGGCCTCGGATCGCTCCGTCGGCATGCCCTTCGCTGAAGCTCAGTATCGCTGAGCCAACCTCCATCCCCATCCCGACCCCCACCAAATTACCCCCCCAGTTGGGGATACACCCCTCGAAAGCCGAAGGGGACGGCCCGTACCCCCATCTCAGGGGATAGATCGGCCCGCGGGGCCCAGGTCACGCCGCTGGGGATGGGGATCGGTGAATAACCGGCACTCCGAAACGAGGACCACGTCTCCGGGATCGTGAGGGGCCCTGGTTTTCGGGCCGCTCCTTGGCTATCCCAGTCGGGGGGCCAGTTCGCGGCGGAGGCTCGCCGTGGCCGGAGCACCTTCGTTGCCGATTTGGCCTGTCGTGTGGCAGCACGATGAGTGCAGGCCGACCCCGTCTTGCCCCGGGTCGCCACGACCGAGCACATCATACGCGCATGGGCGGGGGCACCCTCGTCCGGTATCGTTTAACCACTCCCCGTCTCCATCCCCATCCCCTTCGAGACCCCCACCGAAATACCCCCCCAGTTGCATCCCCTTCGAGACCTCCACCAAAATACCCCCCCAGTTGGATACACCTCGAAACCCGAAGGGACCGACCTAGATCCCCGTCCAGGGGGGTACATCGGACAGTGGGGCCCAGGCCACGCCGCTGGGGATGGGGATCGGTTAAACGATACTCACTCGTGGTCGTGGCCACGGCCGGGCACGGCCGAAGACGAGTGCTCGGGATGGCGCCGGGGACGGCGTCCTGGCCAGGCAAGGCAGGCCAAGGGCGAGGGCACACCCGTCCCAGGCCAGGAGCGACAGAAGGGCGTATGCGTAGATGCATCCACGTTGGTTTCGAGAGCATGCATTGCGCGAATGTTCGTATCACGCGGATGGTCTCGCGGATCGAGGGGCCGTGTTCAGGTACATGGTTGGGCGCGTACGTCCTTTGTGGACTCCCTACCAGCGCGTTCCAGAACCCGCCGCGGCGCCCGATTTTCGGGGGCCCCCCACGGTGTGGTGACCACACCGCGTGGCGAGTCGGTGCGAGTGCGGGATGGCCGCGCGGTGTCGGGAGTCGGGTCGCGCTCCGAAGGAGCCTCGGGCGACTGGGGCCTCTGGGGTCCTGGCACCGTGCGGTGACGGCCCGTGCGGTGGGTTCTGCAGGGGGTCGGAGGTCACCGCACGTCCTGTCACCGCACCTCGGTGGGGACCCCCTAGATACATTCTGAAGGCTCGTTCTCACTGTTGGCATTGCCGCTCACGAGTGGGTAGCGAGAGGCGGGCGGCCTTCTAAGAAGGCCAGGGGGTTTAGAAAGGCAGGGGCCGTCTTAGAAGAACCCCTGGCTTTTCAGAAGCCTTCTTTGAAGCCTCGGGGCCCTGCTAAGAAGGCCCCTTCCGTCTGAGAAGCGCGCCGCCCTTCCCAGAAGGCCAGCAACCTCGCGCCACCCCCTTCTGCGCGCCGCCAGCAGAGATTTCCGACTCGTCCACGTCCGACTTGATCCCATGATGTCAGGGAGGACTTCGTCGGACCCGGCTGGGACGAGATACATCCGTTCCAGAGCGTTCCGGAATGATCTCAGCGCGTTCCGGAGAGCTCTGAGAAGGCCGCGGCGCCCGAGACATCCTGCAGAGCCGCTGGATCTCAGCGAGTCCCGATTTTATCCTCACACGATTTTATCTTCGTCCTGGCTTCGTCTTACCTCGGGAACCGACAGGCCCACGCCGCCTCGACGCAGCGGCCGCGCCGGCGCGGGCGTGTGCTTCTGATTCTGAGATCCCAGTCTACTTTGGTCTCCTTCCTACTTCAAGCGTCGATCTGCTTCCGCCGTGTGCTGTCATTCCCTGGGAGGGTCCAAACCCACTCTATTTTATCCGCCTTCCTGCTTAAACACTTTACCTCATTACTGCGAAGGCCTGACGGCCGGTGCCGCCGACCCTGACAGACATCGACGACGACCAGGAGGGGGAGGAGGAGGATAAGGAGGAGGAGGAGGAGGAGGAGGAGGAGGAGGAGGCGGTGATAAGGAGGACGAGGAGGAAAAGGAGGAGGAAAAAGACTCCCCCTTGGGCACCCCCCCCATCCTGGGGAGGAGGACCAGAGGAGGACGAACCCGTTACCCGAACGAGGAAGGGTGCTCTCTCTCTCTCTCTCTCTTCCCCCCGACGGGAGTGGAGGATGGGAAGGAGGGCACGAAAGAAGGCTCCCCGTCGACGGGACCGGACAGACACCCCACACACGCCGACAGGGTCGGCGGATTCCGACCGACGTTCATCCGCGCCCTCGCGGTCTGGATTTTGGGGCGCGATCCCGCGGAGACGCGGGCGCACGGATGCGTCTCGCGCGGGGCATCCGCAGCAAGAAACGCCCCGTAACCGCCTGGTTTACGGCCCAGGGGCCTGACGACATAAACATGTACTTTCGACGCTCTGCGCGGA